TATGACATAAAGTTCATCTCCAAACATAAGTAACATATGGCATAAAGTTCATCTCCAATCATAGGTAACATATGGCATAAAGTTCATCTCCAAACATAGGTAACATATGACATAAAGTTCATCTCCAAACATAAGTAACGTATGGCATAAAGTTCATCTCCAAACATAGGTAACATATGACATAAAGTTCATCTCCAAACATAGGTAACATATGACATAAAGGTCATCTCCAAACATAAGTAACATATGACATAAAGTTCATCTCTAAACGTAGGTAACATATGGCATAATGTTCATTTGATTTCACCAGTAAAGATCTGGAAGTAAATTCTCGAAACTTTTTGATAACTATATGTACATTTAAATAATATCTGAATTTACCAATTATTTATAGAGAATCACACCCATAGATCGCAGATGTAATTTTTATTAAGTCCACGCGCCACCCTATGCTTTCCCAAATATTTTGTTCTCCAAAGTATGAGGGTGTGTGATTAATTTTTGTATTTGGTAGTCTTTAGTTATACTCCTGACACGACGATAACTGAACCTAATACCGTAAAAGAAAACATATTCCTCTGTTCTGTGGAAAAAAAAAAGAAGTAAGATTGATGTTTGTATTAGAAAGTGTTCACTATGTGTGTAAATACTGCAAAAAAAGAATGTCCCTTTGATCTATGTAAATTAGTAAAAACGTTTATAGCATATTTCAGTTACATATTTACCTTTCATTCCAACAAATGAGAGTATGTTTCGGTAATTTCTTTGTTTTGACACATAATAATAATATAGAAAACTGTATTAAATTTATTCAAAGCTACGACGTGTGAGGTATACTGAAACTGGTTAAGCTGATAATAGGAAGAACATACGTAATTTGACATGATGCAAGTGACGGGGTGATTCTTGTCACATTAATTAGATATAAATCAATACTAATACACACATACATTTACTTAAGAAAAGCAAAGTAATAAAAACATTATCAAACGTACAGCAACAGTTTATCATTATTAAATTATTGAACAACACTGAATCGGTTATCTATTTGAACTACAATGTTACAAGTGACCCTAAGTAGAGAGCACTTCAGCCTTGTTTTTAGGGTAAAGTTCTTGTCGTTCGATTTCATAATCAAGGTGTTTCTTTGTAACAAAATCTAACAATCGTGAACCTCGACCTAAGCGAATAGCCGAAAGTTTATAAGACAATATACCCTATTTTCAAGATGGTTGTTTGTCAATACACTTTGACTTTTCTGGGCCATTGATTCATATCATTAGATTTAACAATCTCCCTAAATTCTCTAGAGTTAGGAAGATGTTATTAGCATAAAGATATAAAAATAGACTGAAAAGTGATAAGTAATGATGATTTTTATATCAGGAGATATAGTACATTATTTTCTAATTTCTCCAAAATTTAATAAAAAGCGAATTATAATAATAAATTATTCTATATGACTTGCAAGACATTTAAAACTTACCTTATTTACCTAACGCCTGTCTTCAGGCCTAACATTTTTATTTTTATTTTTACAAAGAAACTGTCGAAGTCAACAATATTTAGTTGCTATGTGACAGTGTAATATGTGAAACTATAATTTTTCACGTACATTTTTGGGTAATATTAATACGTATTGTTCAATTAAATAAATCCTTATCTTTTTCTTTAGATAAAACATTTGTTTGAAAATATTACATTATTATCTCAAAAATACAATCAAATTTTTGTATCTCGCAATGCAGTAATCTTATGCTCATACTTATAGGAATCATAAAAGACTGCTAGTTTAACAGTTACTTCTGAACGTGTAATAAGTGAAGTACTTATAAGTTTCAGCCAGTTTAACAGTTACTTCTGAACGTATAATAAGTGAAGTACTAAAAACGTTTCAGGTTATGTACATTTGAATGTATACGATATTTTTTCTTATATATAATACAAAATTAACGTTCAACTTTGTTGTGTATTCCCCAAATACATGTGATTTGGTGAAAATTTGAGACTTACAGCAGTTTGCATTAAAGTTTTGAAATGCTAATACAAAGCCCAAATATATCTGTTCTTGTTATTGTTTAGACTCTAGCTGGTAAAAATCGCTAAAGCTACTTCTTTCGCAACATTTCAAAATACGCATATGGAATCTATTTTTATCACAATAACTCGATGATATATAAACCAATATGTGACAAAAGTTTATATGTGTGTATCTACTTATAACTGGTGAACCGCTGGACAGATTGCCATCAAACCAGAGGAGAGGTATAGGGAATAAGCGTTCGAGGGAGGAAATTTGTTTTCCCATACGCTGAAGGGGTATTGAACCTGGTTGATATATATATAAGACGTTTCAAGAGTAATAACTTTAGAAAATGACCATTAACGATTCTGATTTCTGTAAACTAGCACAGGATTTGATTTCAGATTAAAATTTAACAAAAACTTTTATAAAGTGAGTGACGTCATAAAACCCCTTCAAACTTGAATTTTTTACTTGTCATTCAGGGAATAAGTAAGAGATCGAGTTAGATTAAAAACTGGTTGTTTGTTGTTAAGCGCAAAACTACACGATGGACTGTCTGTGCTCTACCCACCGCGGATATTGAAACCCAGGTTTTAGCGTCATAAGCTGAGCCAACAAGTGGCAAAAACTATTCTATAGATAATATTGTTACGACAGCGAAAGTCACGTGACGCTGGTAACACGTAATGAGTTCTAGAAAGATCGGGCAACATCACGAATAATCCAGTATTTGCTAGGCGCCTCTATTCTTGTATATAAGTGCGCCAGGTAATGAATAGAGATGTGAATAATTGCAGGTTGAAGAGATAGAGACGGACAATTGAGTCAAGCGCGGTAATAAAGTGCATGAATCGTTAGTTGTGAATTATAGCGTGTGTTTGAGTTAAAGTGACTGTGGAAATTAAGTGTATTGCAAAGTTGAATTGAGAAATAGTAAACTAGTTTTAATTAAGAAAGGACTTGTATCGCTGAAGCTTCTGGGAAAGAATTTCTACGGAAAATTAACCAACGACCAGAGACGTAACAAATTGGTGTCAGAGAGTGGGACTGAAAAAGAAAAAGAAGATGGAAACAAAAAATTAACAAACGAACACAGACGTAACAATATGAAAACAATGTATAACATGTCATTGTTAGTGTTTTATTATTTTGTTAAATAGCTGACAGAAAGTTCGCGTACATTAACGAATCACCATATCACCTCTTTATCGAATCTCTTTAATTATTCTTAAGTAAGAT